ACACCCCTCCCTTGTGTGCCACTGGCTACAGAAAATGAGGTGCCTTAGCTATGCTGGACTGGAGGGTGTGCTGTCTCTCTTGTGCAGGCCTTTGACATTTTTGACACCATCCCTAGACCTAGGCTCATGGACCCACTGAGCCTGGCTTTCTAATGCAGTGGTACTCAACCTTTTTCACACTGGGACCCATTAGCATAATTATCGGCTTGCCACTATCCATGACCCACAACCCCCTGACCCCGGCCCACACAGTCTCTCTCTCTCTCCCCACTCCTCTGGCTGCTGCATCCGGCCTCCTTCCTCCCTTCCTCTCCAACTCCTGGGGCTGCTCTCAACGCTGCATGCTCACCAAGCTTCCAGCTACATGCCGGCTCCATCCAGGCTGCCAGTGTTGCATGGTTTCCCTGTGCAGGCTGCAATTCCCTAGGACCTCCCCCTGACCCTTTACAATGTTCTTGTGACCCACTTTTGGGTCACAACCCATGGGTTGAGAAACACTGTTCTAATGCATTCCTATGCATAACCCATGGGCCTGAAAGTTTTTCCAGAGGCTGCCTGCCCTGCAGTGAGAAACAAGGATCAAAGGGAAATCTCAAGGAGGTCCTCCACATAATTTTCCCTGACAAAGGCCTCTCAGCCAAAGAGTCCTAGGAGTCTTTTCCTTCCCCACCAGAGAAGCTTCGGGGTCCATAGGAAGGGTCCCTTAATATCTGCCTGCATGAACAGCCAAGGCCTCTACTGCCTTCTCTTCCCTAAGCAGCACTGGTAGAAGCAGAAACCACACAGTGGACCCGGAAGAAATTCATACCTGCAGGGATATGTAGATGAAAGGGAATGGTCTCCACTGCTCCCTGCCTTCACACCCCCAGACCCACCCCAAGAGTCATTTTTTCAGAGAGACAATTATGCATGATAATCCCAAGGGAACTAGATAATGTGCTGCATCAGAGGTACATGAGCAGGGACATGTCTGTAGGCAGAGATCCTGCAATTCAAACCCAAGAGGATCAGGTCAAGCTAGCTCTCAATCTATTAGTCCTCATTTACTAAGGCCAGTTGGTAGCCTTACTTGAGTGAGATCATCTGGTCTGTGTTTTGATAATAGGATTATACACCAACTTTCCCCTTAAATCTTCCAAGTGCTTAATAGACAGTGGGCCAGATCTCCCATTCCAGCCTGGCACTGTTGCATCTCTCAGGTTATATGAAAAAGCTGGATGCTGGCTGTAGCTGGCCAACCAAGAGCTTCCCAGACAGCTCCCATGCTTGCTGCCTGCACCTTGGTATCAGCATGGAGGGCATTCCAGCGGAGGAAAAGATGTGCTGGGGGTATTCTGGGATGCCATGGTTGTGTGTAGCTCTACTACTCCACTGCTGCATAGTCCCTTATGCTGAAGTCAAGACCAGTACAGAATGGAAGCACTATGACTGGCTCTCTAACCTCCTCTACAAGGACAAGTGGAAGCTGGATATAGGAGGGACTAAAAATCTATGGCTACCTATACACGTGCTCGGAGGTTGGGGCTAGGAGGGGGAGTAGAAGGGGTTAATTAGTGGTTCCTGGGCAGCTACTCTAATTAAAACACCCCGCCGTCACATGTATTAAACCTCCATGTGTTTAAAAATGGCTGGAGGATGCTTTATCTAAACTTCTTTCAACAAGGTTTAGTTAAAGTGCCCCTGCAGCCATTTTAAAAACACACAGGGGCTTAATGCACGTGATGCTGTGGCGATGCTGCAGATTAATCAAGTCTGCTCCAATGTGTTCTAATTACAACGCCAACCAGCACATGTATAGGCAGCATTCATTCTGTGGTAGTGGCCATGTGAGTTGTGATGCAAGCGCACATGGGGTACCTGTGTTGTTCTGAACTGTGTACACATTTCTTCTATTCTGCATCATCTTATACTCGTTCCCTTCTTTCCGTGCCCGCCGCTTGCCCACATCTGACGTCTCCCTGAAGGTGAAACAAACACACACAGCTCTGTTTTAAATCTCTTTGCGATGTATTAACAGAGACTGCCAACGTCACAGCCACACACGTTCTGACCAGCCTCAGGTAGAGGTTGAACAATACCTACGAGAATGAGTTATTCTGAGCTTCTGCCAGACGCAGCCTCTTGGCATGATTCTTTCCTTGGTAGTGAGCCTGGGCCACAGCTGGAGAACTGAACGAGGCATCGCAAAGCTTGCAGTAATCGTTCTCTGTGGCCAGGATCACTCGGCCGCCCGGTTTAGAAGAGCCCATCTAGCAGCAAAAGAAGGGAAAGCATCATATGAACAGGGCTTATGCTTCATATAACAGGGCCATGCTGACCCTAATGGTGACCTCACCAAGCAAGCCAATGGAAAAGCTAGGGTTAGCACCCAACAAGGGTCTCTACACACTGCTCCCCAAATCATTCCAGCACCAGCAAGGAACTGTGGAGGGTCTGCAGATTTCTTAAAAGCTAAAGTAACCTGCACCAGTACACTGGCTCCAGAGCTTCCTGCTCTCCCTTCCAGCTTCCTCAGAGTCATGGCTTAACTGGTCCTGACTTCCCACTCTGCACAGAAAGGTTATTTCATAGTACAGACGGACGTCTGCTGAAAATATAAAGCAGCTTCCTCCTTGTGTCTGCAGCACTCTGTACTTCCAACACACCTCACCCACCTAAGAGCCCTTCTCAGGCTGCAGAGAAAGCAGCGAACAGTGGTACCAAAACATCCGACTTCCCCTCTCCCACCTTCCCATGATAGCGGGAGACCTGTAGGCAGATTTCATAGAGTCATAGAAAATTAGGGTTAGAAGGGGACCTCAGAGGGTCATCTAATCCAACCCCCTGCTCAAAGCAGGACCATCCCCAAACAGATCATCCCAGCCAAAGCTTTGTCCAGCTCGGTCTTAAAAACCTCCAAGGATGCAGAGTCCACCACCTCTCTGGGTAACCTGTTCCAATGCTTTCCTACTCTCCTAGTGGGAAAGTTTTTCCTACTATCCAACCTAAACCTCCCTTGCTGCAACTTGTGCCCATTGCTCCTTGTTCTGTCATCTGCCCCCACTGAGACCAGTCCAGCTCCATCCCCTGTAGATCCCCAGGTAGTTGAAGGCTGCTATTAAAACCCCTCTCAGTCTCCTCTTCTCTAGACTAAATAAGCCCAGTTCCCTCATCCCCTCCTCAGAAGTCCTGTTGCCCAGCTCCCCAACCATTTTCATTGCCCCCCACTGGACTCTCTCCAATTTGTCCACATCCTTTCTGTAGTGGGGGGCCTAAAACTGGAGGTATGGCCCAGCCCCACAGCAGCACATGAACTCCTGGTGCACTACTGGATGCTATATGGTCTTTCTGCTTAGACTGCAGACTGATGGGGCAGTGACCTTCTGTATGTCACTAAGGACATGGTGCTTCCCAAAAAGATGCTTCAATCAGCCACATTGTCAGTGTCACATTTTCTAAAGTGTGGTTCTTTCAGCCTCTGTTTTGATATGTGCTGCTAGACTCACAAACCCATCACCCCACAGCATTCATGATACAATATGAATGCTTTGGTATGAGCTGGCTCACACTTGGCTTTCTTGTTGCTGTGAAACAGTTCCTCAAATTAGGCAAACCAGGCACTCCAGCAATCGAGAAGTGGCATAACGCATAATGTACAAGGGATGGAGCAGATCTAAGGCCCTTTGAAGTTAACTAGACTTGCATCCACTTCAGCAGGCTTCAGATGAGGTTTTATTTGTATGTGATCAGGTCTCCCTCTAGTGGATGGCCCCAGGTGTTATAACCTGCTACTTTTGTTCAGGCAAATGTTCCTTCTCTTCTCCTTTAGTTTGAGTGGCAGAGGCCTCTACTTTTGAGGCTAAAGGCTGAAGCCTTGATGACTGCTGACCATCATGGAGATGGCTAGATGTAGAAAACTAAACTCTTCTACATAGGCATCTTGGCTCAATTTCACTTGGATGCATGAGCGAGAGCTATGTAGTAGGGCTGTGCAAAGCAGGCAGTATTCGATTCAGATTCAGCCTGATTCGGGGAACAGCGATTCGATTCGCTGATTCAGATCACAGTCCCGATTTGATTCGGCCAAATCTGAATCTGAAGATTCAATTCTGATTCAGAGAATCAACAATTCGGCCACAGAGACAGCTTTACATGTTTTTTCTATGTACCTTGAGGACCATATAAAAGCTGCCTGTGGCCAAATCGCTGAATCTCTCCAAATCGAATTGGAGGCTTCCGATTCGGTTCGGAGAGATTAACGGGTCTCCTGATTCGATTTGGAGATTAAGCCACCGAATCGGGCCGAATCTCCTCCAAATCAAATCAGCGACCGAAGCTTCACGCAGCCCTACCATGTACCCCGAGGATGGCACCCAGACACACAGGAATCCAATGTTACAACATTGCTGTGTTTATCCAGGGCTTTAAACTGCCATAATGAACAGCACATGTGAATTACCCAGGAATCGGGGGGAGGGGGGGGAAGAATTTAGTATTCAGAATTAGATCACTGCTTCCCTGAGGTCAGTACCCTGCATTCAGGAGGGGCTGGTATCAGTTGCTTAAAGGGAAGTCACAGGCATGCACCATCCCAAGAGCACCCTTACCTGCCCTGCCCTGCGATGTGATATCAAAGTACCCTTCTCATAGAGGTTAATGCACATGCCTTACCTGAGCTGGAAGGGAGACAATCTGAGGTGTGACAGGCTCAACTGAATTGCTCATTCTGGCAGAAGCTGGACAACTATTCGCAGCATAGTAATTCCGAAGTTTCTTACTATGGTTTTTCCCCTGGAAATAGAACTCAAATTAACCACTCTGCGGGTGATTAACCACTCTGGTCCCACCTGCATCAAGGAGCATGAGACTGAATTACGGAGCTGAAATGTAAATGCTGTCATGACAGTAACAGCTTCAATAAAGGGTCCGAGCCTGAGAAGGGCTGAGAGGATGGTGCTCAATGTCTCTGACAAAGGTAGCAGGATTGGGCACCTTCTTAAAATCCCTTTCATAAAGCTAATGCAGTAAGAGGGCTGTATTGAGTCTAATCCTATTAACACATCCCTTTGTCTTTTGTTTTTCGCATGTGTGCGTGTTCTATTAAAAAAAATCTACAAAACACACTCCAAAAACGCATGACCAGGCTACCGATAGCACATTTACAACCTCTTGAAACTAAATTCGGGGCAGCACACGCTTACAACAAAGAAATAAAATAGGGAGCCAATTAGACTAGATAATAGTTCATCCTGGTATTTTGACATATCTGAAGTAAGTGGAATGGGAACCTCTCTCTCATATACACACACACTAGTGTGTGTGTGTGTGTGTGTGTGTGTGTGTGTAGATAGAGATAGATATAGATAGATAGATATAGATATATATAGAGAGAGAGGTTTCTATATATATCTAGAAAGTGTGTGTGTATAATATATAGACACATAGATATGGGAGGGGCAAAGAATTCAAGACTATGGGTATGTCCACGCTTTAGTCGCTGCTTTAAATTAGCTTGGGTCTGTTAGCAATGTAGCCACAGCCATATGGCAACTCAGTGAAAGTTGCAGCATCCACCCAAGAAGCCGTGTCAATACACAAGCAGTTAGTCTATGCTGAGCTCTGTGCAACCATGGCAACACTACCAACAGTACCAAAGCTACCCAGTTTAACTCTAGTTCAGGTTGTCTATATGAGCTGTAATGCCCAAGCAGACAAACCCTATGATCAGCTTCAAATGATCAAGTCTAGAAACCGCCAGCGGTGGAGTGTTCCACACGAGGATGTTCTCACCAGGCTGAAACACGAGAAAAAGGATGAAATTTGGTGACCCATACCATGAACCACAGCAAAGGTAATGTCCATCAGAGTATAAAAGCCAGCCAATCCAAGCCAGCCAAAAAACTTGCTGCCATTTAACACACTCCAGTTCATGTAACGGGAGTCCCGATCCCAGACAAGATTCATTCAACTGAATCGGGTCATATGCTTGGTTGCGTTTGGTCCAGGAGAAAGATGTTGTTATTTCACTTGCTGTAGGAGTTACCAAGAGCTTAGCGATCAGTAGCAACACACCTAATGGCGCGTCCAGATGAGCGCGGTCATGCAGCATGTGGCACGTTTGCGGCACCACATACAGCACAGCCCAGTGCTTTCTGCGCTGCGAGGGCACGCTGTCCGAGTGTGAGCTGCTCTGGTTTTTTTTCCCTGCAGATTTTTTTTTTGACCTCTAGATATCCAGGAGGAAAAAAAACTAAACAAACGAAGCAGCGCACACTTGGGCAGCATGCGCTGAAGTGTGGAGCCGGGCTGCCCGGAGCCGCACTGCAGCTGCCAGCCAGGCTCTGCCCGGCAGGATCACTGTGGCTGCAGCCCTGGGAGGCCCCCAGATAAGGCTGCTGGGGCCAGCCCAGTGCTGGCCCCAGCCTCCTCTACCCAACCTGGGGTAACCTGCCACGTGCCAAAGCATGGCACAGGTGTTCCCCAGGGACAAATAGCTGCGGTGCAAGGTGCACCACTGCTACTTGTCCCCAGGCAACCAAACATCCATGCATATCTGGATACACCCTATGTGATTCAACTTAATGTTAAGTGGAGCAGGGGGGAAAGTATATTTAAGGCAAGAATAACTTTTCTACTGTCCTTATTACCCCAAAGAAGAGGACAAGCCTATCATTTTCCTGCATAGCCCAAAACGGTTGTGAAAACAGGTCCACAATTACTAATTCAACATTTTATTGCAAGTATCAGGATATTTAATGCTCTATTTAAAAGTCCCCATTCCATGATTTAGCTGGTAATCAAGAATTACAGCCTTTATTTCCAATGTCTTACCTTTTTAGTCATTATGGTTGCAGAGAAAAGCTTGAAAGTATGACTGCTAGTGCTCAAAAAATTAAAGTCAAATACAAATAACAAAAATATTATTTTGTTTCATCTCAGGATTTTTTAAGCAATCCCATGATTTTGAGGGTCTACTATGTGATTTACAAACATCTGGAATTGGCAATCCTGCAAATGATTCAAAACATCTCCTTTAGCACAGAAGTTTCCTAAAACAATTACATTCACAGCTCATCTTTTCGAGGCCTTAACCATGGGGTGCCCTGAGATCCCTCAAGGGTGCCATGGGGTGTCACACAAGGTAGTGTTGTTAAGCGTCCAAACAAGATAAATACAGAGATTTCAGAGAGGAATCCATAGTGGCAAAAAGAAGTCTGACCTGTTATGATCTTTCTGAGTTCTTGCAACAGAAGAATGGGTCTACTGTACTATCCTTCTGTACTCAAAAAAATAAGTGAAAAGGATGAGCTGGCATTTTCTGAGGAGCGCCTCGAATCTATTAACTGGTGCCTCAAGTCTATTAAGCAATGCCTCAAGTCTAAAAATGTTGACAATCAGTGCCTTAAGCAAAGTAAGTTCATAGATTTCATAGACATTAGGGCTGGAAGGGACCTCGGAAGATCATCGAGCCCAGCCCCCCGCCCAAAGGGCAGGAAGTCAGCTGGGGTCAAAGGGTCCCAGCAAGATAAATGTCCAAATGTCTTTTAAAGGAGTCCAAAGTAGGTGCTTGCACCACCTCCGATGGCAGTCTGTTCCAGACCTTGTGGGCTCGGACAGTAAAAAAGTTAAGCCTGAAATGGTCTTGGAGAAGTGTGTGACCGTTTGACCTTGTCATCCCTTGGGGCGCTCTGGTGAACAGGCGTTCCCCCAGATCCTGATGCACACCCCTGATGTACTTATAGGTGGCCACCAGGTTCCCTGGCGCTTTTCCAGGCTGAAGAGTCCCATAGCTCTCAGCCTCTCATCGTAAGGCCTGCCCTCTGATCATGCACGTGGCTCTCTTCTGGACCAAGTATTTTTCCCAGAGAAGCTTCTAGGAAGTTTCTTCTTCTTTTTTTTTTTCCTTTCCAATTCCCCCCTTAAAATAGTTTCGGTTTTGTGACGAAAAAATGACATCCGAAATATTTTTCGGTTTGGAAAATAATTTTTTTGTCAAAAAAATGTTCAGGTTTTCCTACCTAGTATTTCTGCAAAACACTCAAAAAGTTTCGACCTAAGCAAGAAATGTTGTTTTGGTCGAAACTTAATATTTCACTGAAAAGCAATGTTTTTACAAAAGATTAACCATCTCTACCCTCAGTTTCAAACAAGGTAAAAAAATGCTTCAGAGCTCCACATTGGACCCTGTAGAGCTGCAACAACCATAATCCAATGTCCCTTCTGGAAAGGAAACCAAAAGGGGGGTCTTGGTCTGTGCCCCTTCTCCCACCCTCTCCACGTCTGGCAACTCTGTCCTGGCACAGGGCTCCCCATTTCTGGCACGCTGGATCTCTGGATCACAATGCACCCATGAAAAGGCTGCTAGGCTTCCCGTGGAACAAGCAGGTGTGGCTAGCTGTTGCCTTTTGCTCTCTTACCTGGTAATGAGCCTGGGCTTGCTGGGCTGAATTCAAAGTGACATTGCAAAGTTTGCAGCACAGGGGCTTACATAGTTCCTCCAGCACAGGATCCTGCTCCACTGCCTTTGTAAGCTCGTCCTCTTGCGTGCGCTGCAAGGAGGGCCCCAGGCCAAGAGATTTCTGCGGGGACAGTGGCGAGCTGGCTCTTGGCCGGGTGGCCACTGACATAGGAAGAGCTGAAGGCTTCTCAGGACGAGAATGGGGAGGCAGTCCTGCCTGCTGCAAAACAACCATTGGCCAGGAGGACCGCTAGCATAGTACAGCTGAAGGACGAAGAGTCTTCTTCAGATCTAGACCAGAAAGACGAAGATGCTCAAATAAGCAGTACGAACCTGTACAAGTAGGCACCAGCCTCACCACCATCACAGCAGCTGCTTTCCGTCCCTCCACAAAGCATAGCAGCCATCAACCCACTTCACCTATGTTTACAACCTTTATGCTTCACTGGAGCAGTGCAAAGCTGCTGCAGCTCATCAGTAAGTCTGGTCCCAAATCTGTTTTATGCCAAGAGAAACTAATTGAAATCTGAGGCTTAGCTGTTAACAAAGCTAGAGCCTCCCGCTGAAAATTTTAGGAGACTCCGAAGAATTTGCAATATCTGCTCAATAAGCTAAATGAAGCTTCAGCTTCCAGAAGGAAATATCCTTGTGCCATATGCCTGTTACCATATTGGGCCTGGAGCCCACCATATTTTGTGCAGCAGCTTACTGTGAAGCTGTGCAGAGCTCACTGAAACAGTGCTCCCACATGCAAACAATTGTAATTTTGGGGCCCGGGAAAGAAACCATTTCCAGATGTTTGAGAAGGGGCAGGCCTGTCCTGAGGAGCACACAGTCTAAAAATGAGCCACCACATAGGAAATAAAGGTATGTCACAATACGTGCTGTTACTGGATGTCCCGTGAACGAAACCAAACCTCGTTTGGAAGCAATTGTATAAGTTGGGAACAACGAACACAAAACAGAGCTCTCATAAATACCAACTTTAAGACAGTATTTCAAAATGGACTTTTCCCAAAAGGAAAATGAAAGTGCATCACATCAATGCTATCGAGTGGTTAGAACAAGGGCTAAGAGTTATCTCCTTGGCACCTCTGCCCAGCGTGGCCGCTGTCACATGGGATAACCTTTGCTATCTGAAACTATACAATAATCAATTATTTTTATTTATTTTTTTAGTATTGGGAGCTTACCCCATATTCATTCTTATTCAATGTATTTCAAAGTTAATCCAAGTTCTTAGGAAGCCCCTTAAATTTCCAACAAGGAGTTCGGAGAGGCTCAATTAATTAGTGTTTGTAAATCATGTCTAACATGATTTACAAACCTCAAGATGAACATTGCTAAGGAAATGCAAAGCAATAACATGATTATGAATCAAGGCAGAGACACGTTTGTTAAGATCATATTAGCACCCACTTGCCAATAGGCCAGATATCAATTCCTGTTTATTTCAAATTATAGGATAAAATTAAATTCCTGGTTGCCAGATGTATACTTTAAGCAGAAGGAGTTTAAATGCAATGAATCATGTTTACATTTGAAAATAGCCAATACCTCAGGTAAACCTGTCAAAAGTAACTTAGCAACCAGAACAGACTTTCAGATTCCAGATTTTCTAAAGGCATTTTGGTACCATAGGCTGCTTATATACATGCTCAGAGGTCGGGGGGGATGGGGGAGAGGGAAATTCCCAGGCAGCTGGTCTAATTAAAACAGGTTACCGTCATGTGTATTAAGTCTCCGCATTTAAAAGTGGTTATGTGACACTTAATCTAAGCCTATATTTGATGAGGTTTAAATAAAGTACCCCCGGGGCTATTTTAAAATGTGTGGGGGCTTAATACACATAACGGTGAGGCCACACTGTTCTCAGAATACAGAGCAGACCTGATTAACTGGGTCTGCTCTGATGCGTTCTAATTAGAATATGAACAAGCATGTGTATAGGCAGCCAAAGATGCAGACAGGCATCCACTGGGTCTTACAAAAATATTTTCTTGATCGGGTACCTAACTTCAATTGAAATCAATAAGATTAGGCACCTACCCTGCTTATAGGTATTTTTGAGGCATCCAAATACCTTAAAAAATTTAGTCCTTAGGAGTCCATGTCTTACTGAAAAAAAAATCAGTGGAACTATTAAGCTCCTAAATCACTTAGGCACAGTTCAAAATTTTACCTCTACAAGTCTTTTGGTATTGATTGGAGAGTCAGGTCCCAGTCCTGCAAGTGGCTTGTTATAAGCAGATCCTTGAATCTATGAGGAAGCAGTTGTAGAGTTGGAGCCAAAAATATTTTCAAAATATAAAAAATTGCAGGCATTAAATTTCTAGAGTTTCCTGAGCATTTCTGGTAAGAGAAATAAGAAATAAAGAAAGCTACAACAAGGCATGCACACACAAGTGCACACTCTGAAAACATGCCAAAAATAAAGATGCAAGCCTTGGGAAGTTTCTTTTATTGTCAAAGCCATTTTCTCCTGTCAAGGTGCTGCGTGAGCAATAAAACAGTTGCTCAAGTTAAATTCAAATAGAATCATAAAAAACAGAAAAGAGCCTCATTAAATTAACAGCTGAAACAAAATTGAGAGAAAACAAGACTGAAAATAAAGAGGGAAAAAAGGGAACAGGGTAGAAAAGTAGTAACTAAAGGACAGAGCATGCTCTAAATCTCAAAGATACCTTTGAAGGAGGAAATGATTTTAAAAGCAGCTAAAAGATGGGCTAATGGATTACATGGTGAATTCTCTGCCCCAGGACTCGCTAAATTCCTTTTAGCTTCAGATAGGATGAAGGAAATCTCAACAGGGTTGGTGGTGTCCGAGCAGAGACCTTTATTAAGATCAAGCCCAAGGAAGAAGCCTCAGACATAGGTACGGTAAAGGACTGTACAACTGGCAAATGGTAAACCATCTCTGTTGTTAGGCCTTATAAGAGAGAAGTGCCCAACTGAGCTTCCAGGATGCAAGGGCAGGGTTTGCTAATGTGAGCTCACACTGGGATGAATAAAGGCGTCACCTATGTAAACTGCAGTGCAAATGAGAAAGCAGCTTTGATCACATGCAGTGTGTCAGGTTGGTCACCCATAAGTGGGTATGAAGAGGGCATGGCCCTGCTTCTAATCAAATCCTCTCATCAAGAATGAGACTTCTTGTCATGATGAACTCTACCCAGAAACAAGATCTCCATGTTCCCAGGACTGATGACAAAGACTTTTTAATGCATCCAGCTGGCAAGATGCATCAAACATACCCCCAGGCCAGAAATGTCTGGTGTCTACAGGGCAACAGCTGTACATCTGCATCTCTACTTGCAAGTTAGAAATCATCTGGCCAAAGGCCTCAGTACTACATGGGTGACAAGAGAGAACTTTGAGGGACACCACCTTTCAGGTCCTATATCATCACCATAAACTGACTCGTTTAGCGGTAACTGGATGTAGACAAATTGGAGAGAGTCCAGCAAAGGGCAATGGAAATGGTTAGGGGCTGGGGCACGTGGCTTATGAGGACAGGCTGAGGGAATTGGGCTTATTTAGTCTGGACAAGAGAAAACAGAGGGGATTTTGTAGCAAAAAGGATGGAGTTAGGCTGTTCTCAGTGGTGACAGATGACAGAACAAGGAGCAATGGGCTCAAGTTGCAGCCAGGGAAGTTTAGGTTAGATATTAGAAAAAACCATCTTGCTAGGAGGGTAGTAAAACACTGGAACAGGTTACCCAGAGAAGTTGTGGACTCTCCATCCTTGGAGGTTTTTAACAGCCAACTAGACAGAGCCTTGGTTGGGATGATACAGTTCGGAAAGGTCCAGCTTTGAGCAGGGGGTTGGACTAGATGGGACCTCCTGAGGTCCCTTCCAGGCCTCATTTTCTATGATGTCAGATCTAGACATCCCAGCCATGTTCCTTTGTTGTCTAAAGCCCGTCAGACAGAAAGCTATTAAAGAAAACCAGACCAAATGACAAGATGACCCTTGTCTACAATTGGCAGGAGGTCACTCATGACCTTAAACAAGTACAATCTCAACTCCAAGACAGTCAAAAGGAGAACCATGCAGGATGCCACGTAAGTCCAAGTGATCCTTGAACTGGATACTCACAGCTTTCTCAATCATTCTCCATATGCGGGGTTTGAAAACTGGACAGCAGTTGACAAGCACTTCAGTGTCAAGAAATGGCTTCTCAAGGAAGGCTTAAAAAACATGGACCTTTCCATTTTGAGGACCACTGATGGCAGCACAGTCACCAACATGAAGAAAGGCGATAATCACAGGCTCTGCGCCACAGGGTATCCCAAAGGACAGGGATATCAGAAGTTAGGTTGAAAATAACTTACAGCCTGAGTCTCTCTCAGTCAAAAGACAGAGAGGGAGTATTTTAGGTCCGTACTATCGTACTCACAAATATGTCCATGTACACATAAATGAAGCGGTAAGCTCAGGTCATAAACCTGGACCATCTCATACAGTGGAAGCTGTGCACAAATGAGCCGACTGTGCACTGAGAGGCTGCATGTGGCTGCAAATTGCCCTAACTTTTCCAAGGGTCCAAGGGTAAATGCACCACTATTCTGGCAGGTGACATTGCACATAGGGGTCGCCTCTTGCATCCACAGATTGACTTTTCACAGGATAACACGTTCAGGTGTCTATGGCCTAAACTGTCCCTGAATTGATCTGAACCAAACTGACTGCACACTATCCAGAAGAGTTTACCTGGCAGAATCCTCATGGAGAACTAAGACCAAGGACAAGTAATATCTTCTACCACCAGCTTGAGTGATTAAATGCCTGCATAAATTATTTGCATATTAAATTCTTGGCTGGCTTTCACTCTGAATGAAGAGAGACCAGTTTCAACACCTGTAGATCACCATTACATTAGAGTGGGCTCCACACACAGAGGATACTGCTGGCACAGTACCAGGAGTCGAGCTATGACCTAGCATCTTTATGAAGATCACAAGAAACCACTGAGCCCCAACCCTGTAGCCTGCAATGCAATGAGAAAAGGGATGAGCTGACAAAGCACTGAAGAGATGGCTGACGTACCCAACAAAAATGACCCAAATAATTTTTTAAAAGGTCTAAACATTAAGTCTATCATACGATTGTCTCGATCCTGACCGATTGAGGTAAACTTAGAAGGGAAATCCATAAAAGTCCATGACAAGACTTCTACTGACTAGGCCAGGATTTCCCCCAGAATCCATTATTTTCAATCAACATAACATTTGAAAATGAACTAGTTTACCAAACTGGCCTTTTTTTAATATTATCATATTGAGGGTAGAAGCCATCCGTAACTCAATTTTAGCATTAAAATGAAGTTGGTGAAACAATGCCAGTCCAAGTCTCTGAATACCTTAATACAACATCAGATTGTACTAAATGTCTGCAGCAGACCTGATATTAGGAAATGAAAAGCAACCATATCAGTGCAGATCAGCAAAACCCAAAAAATCAATCGTGCTTTGAAGCCTCTGTTCAGGAAAGCTTTGCTCAAGGAATAAAGTTTTTTTCTCAGAACATACAGATCAGAGTATTTATTGATAAATTTTCCCCTTCTCAGCCCAGTGGCTAGGCTTTAATATACTCACATCTTCAAGTCTGTTAAGAGAACATAAGCACTCAAAGTCAGGAGCACAAACAGCTTTACTTCTTCCCTTCTGCTTGCACCCTTTACTAAACAACACTTCAATTACATGTTCATATTCAGTTTCTCAGTGATAAACTATACTAGCCTACACTTTTCCTGGACAATTTCAAAATCAGATTCTGATCCCCTTAACAACACTACTGAGCAGTTACTCACATGAGTAATCCCTCTGGGCCTTAGGTATAAGTGCAGCATCTATTTTTTATTATTATTATTATTATTATTCTTTTATACTTACTCCCTGGATTGTTCTAGTCACCTAGTGAATCTATACCCAGGTACCAGCCAGAGCTGAGCACTCCCGTTCTGTCCCAGCAAAGCACTAAGCTATACAAATCAGTGGGATAATGCTCTTTGATTATTTTTATATCAGTTGCCTTCTCTCTGCAAGTATCTTAAGTGTACTGCATGATTTCTTTCTACTCAGTAGCACAGCTTACCCTAAATTCACTGTTCAAAAATCACAGATTCTGCTATCCTTATTCATGCTAAATAATATTGTACTCTACAGGTATTCCCATTAATTTTAGTTGGATTGCTTTTGGAACAGGGCACTAGTCACTGTGAGCAACAGTTCCATAATCTGGCACTGTACAGCTAAATTAAATTCCCCTTTAGGTGACCTGAATGTGCCAGCAAAGTTTTAGTATTACTCTATTGCAATTGTAATGGGTTTGATTCTCCTTCATGCGGAATCCACTTTACACCAATATGGCAATATAAAAAGATGCCTTAAATATAAATGAATACATAAAAATATAAATGTAAAACACAATGTACTCCCACTTACGGCCTACTTATGGGTAAGTTGGTTTTAAAGACGTATGTAAGAAAAAGAACCTCCCAAACATTGTCTTCAGTCTAGAGAGTCCTGGACATTCACTCGGCCAGGGCTACAACAGAGCCCACCTCCAGACCTTAAAAAAGCATCAAGTTTTCTGTGCACCTTCTCTGCCAGTTAACAGTTGTAAAATGTTTGCATTACATGATGAGTGATGAACGCGGCAGGTGGGCCCTGCTGGGCCCCGTCTCATTCAGTCCACAAACAGGCAGGTGTGCTTTTAGGTCCAGCCTAGGGCAGGAGACAGAGCTACTGGTCTCCAGCATGACTGGGGCATTGTGCCCGAATGCCCTCTGGGTCTCACCATCATGCCTACTGTTACACATCTTGCAGGCTGCAGTATACTTCCTACCATGTGCTGGTCTTGCTGCTCAGAAAAGCACAGAAGGATTTAGGCAAGTGAGCCCACATCTTTCCCACCTTTCAGAGGACTGAGTGGCCCTGGGATAATATCTAAGCAGTAGACACTGCACAGTCTGCAAGGACCACAGTTGTACATAGCCTTTGCATGAGCTGCATGGGAAGAGGTCTTCATGTGTCCACCGTCAACACCTTATTCAACTCTAAACTGTGCCAGGCACAATCTGGGCCCTAAACTGGAAAAAACAGCTAGTCAAGCACGTACATGCAGCATGGTCTTCCTCGGTCACGGATTTTGCAAGCACGGCAAGAAAAGCCTTTTGTGAAATGCCTGGTGTGCGCGCAGGCTGCATTTTTAAAATCGGTCCAAACAAAGTTCAAATCAATTATCTACACCATATTTCACC